GGTTAAGTTTGCACGCTCTGCTTCGGTGGCCTGAGGTTTGCAGGTTCAGATCCCAGGCACAGACCTATGCACCACTTATCAAGCCATGTTGTGGCAGGCGTCCCACATATAAAGTGGAAGAAGATGGGCGCGGATGTTAGCCCAGGGCCAATCTTCCTCAGCAAAAAGAGGAGGATTAGCAACAGACAGCTCAGGACTAATTTTCCTCACCAAAAAAAAACCACAAACATGTCCTTTGTGATGTTTAATGTGTTTTGATTTAGATTCTATTAGTCTGATACCAGGATTTTTAATTTCTGCTTTCTCAGTGTTTCCATTTGCCTGGTATATACTTTTATCTATTCCTTTATTTTTAGTCATTCTGAATAACTTATAATTTTATTATAATTATTATGTGTATGTTATATTTACTATGTTTCGTTCTCTACATGATATGTTTTCTTTGCCATTTTTATTTTGTAAATTTCTTTTGGTGTTCTCTCAACTGTGACGTTATTTTGTTATTGTTATATTTGCTCTGTTTCTTTTTCTACATGATGACAAGTTTTCTTTACCTTTTGTTTTAATTACATGTTATTTAGGAAGGTTTGTAGTTTTGTTCTGGTTGTTACCTTTGTAAAACTAGAGAAGTATACTACTAGTCTCATTCTCTTCCCCTTATAAGTTACTTGATCTTTTTGCCTAGAAGCCCTGAATATGTTTTTTTTATTGTTAATGTCTAATAATTTTAGTAGAATATTCTTGGAGTTGCTTATTACAGGTTAATTTTCTCTGTAATAATTTTCTCTGTACTTGGTTAGCCCTATCAATTTGTAGATTTAGGTCTTCTTTTATTTCCAGAAATTTTTGTTGAATTACAGATTTCAATATTAGTTCTGCTCCACTATTTTATCTTCAGCGACTCCACTGATAGGCAAATTCCATCTTCTTTGCTTGACTTCCAATTCAACCACTTCTCTAATTCATTTTACTTCTCTTTTTGGTGAGGAAGATTAGCCCTGAGCTAACATCTGTTGCCAATCCTCCTCTTTTTCCTGAGGAAGATTGGCCCTGAGCTAACAGCTGTGCCCATCTCTCTCTATTTTATATGTGTGACGCCTGCCACAGCGTGGCTTGATGAGCGGTGTGTAGATCCATGCCCGGGATCCAAACCTGCAAACTCCAGGAAGCCAAAGCAGAGCCTGCAAACTTAACCACTACGCCGCTGGGCCAGCCCCATTTTACTTCATCTCATTTTCATTCTCTTGGTTGTTTTCCTGCTTTTCTTCAATGTTCTATATTAAGTTTTATTTCAAATCTGTTCTTCTTTGGACATTTTATAATTTAATATTTACTTCTGATATAATTTTGTCTTTTTCTTCCATTTCTTTGTAGAGTTTAATCAACTGTCAGTTCATTTCTTCTTGTTTCTTGAACATTTCTGCTCTTAGTTTTTGATTTCTGATTTAAAATATTTTTATCATATCTCTAAATGCTTGTTTGAGGATATTTAATAAAACTATATAGTTGTATTATAGTTTTTTTCTGCTTCACTACTGTTTTTCTGGGGGAGGGTTTCATCAGGTGAATTTTTTTCTCAACTGATGTGATATTTCTAAATAGTAATTTTATATAGACAGAGTGTTTGCTCCTCAGGATTTCTGTGGAGAGAGCTAACTTATTTGGGTGGTTTATGAAATTTTTAATTCAAGGGCACCATCTTGTTTCAGTGTTTCAAAATATGGTTTCCTAATTGTATGGCTTTTATTGGGGGGGAAGGATGCTGTGCGTGGAAGGGATGTGTGTCCTTCAATTTTTTTAATATTTTATACAATTCTATATATATCTTATAGCCCTTTGTGTTGCTGGTGAATATTTTGGCTAACCTCTACTCTTTTTATGATCATTTTATTAGGTATTTGGGTATGGAAATTCTGTAAGTAATATTTAATCTGTTATTTAACCTTAAAATCTTAAAGCCAATACTTTTTAAATATGTATAGACTATTTTTTTAGAGTAATTTTAGATTCACAGCAAAATTGAGCATGAAGGAAGAGATTTTCCATATATCCCTTATCCCCACACATGCATAGTCACCCCATTATCAACATCCCCCACCAGAGTGGTACATTTGTTACAAATGGTGAACCTACATCATTATCACCCAGAGTCCATAGTTTACATTAGGGTTCACTCTTGGTGTTGCACATTCTATGAGTTGGACTAATTTATAATAACATGTATCTACCATTTTAGTATCATACAGAGTCGTTTCATTGCCCTAAAACTTCTGTATGCTCCAGCTATTCATCCCGCCCTCCTCCTCTATACATCTGTTTATACAGTTTAAAAATATTCATTGTTGGGGCCGGCCCCGTGGCTTAGCGGTTAAGTGCGTGCGCTCCACCACTGGCGGCCTGGGTTCGGATCCCGGGTGCGCACCGACGCACCACTTGTCCAGCCATGCTGAGGCCGCATCCCACATACAGCAACTAGAAGGATGTGCAACTATGACATACAACTATCTACTGGGGCTTTGGGGAAAAAAAAGGAGGAGGATTGGCAATAGATGTTAGCTCAGAGCTGGTCTTCCTCAGCAAAAAGAGGAGGATTAGCACGGATGTTAGCTCAGGGCTGATCTTCATCACAAAAAAAAGAAAAAATTCATTGTTAATCTTGTCCTATTGATATTAAAATGCCTATAAGTAAAAATTAGATTAAAATCCTAAATAAATGTGTCTTTTACATGAAGAGTCATGACAAATAAATCCACTCATAGTATGGATTAGTTTTTTAAATATACATATTCTAAATTACGACGGTGAATCCAGTTTACGCTTTTCCATTTACATTAGTGCTACTAAGACACTCTAATATGCTATCTTCATTATCCATATCATCAAAAAAAGATTAATTTGTAGTCAATATACACTATTTACTAAGCTAGTAAAATAGACTAATGCCCTCTGAGAACATTTCAACAACCATCTTAAAAGAAGCAGAAAATTCAGCTTAACACAATTCTTTCTGGTTAATTGACTTTTTACTTTATACTACCCATACTTTGTTCCTCACATTCTATGACACTCATTCATTATGTACTTATTCTATCAACAAATATTTAATAGTTGTCTATTATGTGTCAGGCTCTAGTAATACACTAGTGAAAAATACAGATAAGATTCCCTACCCTTAAGAGGCTTATATTTTAGTGAGGAGTTACAGACAAGAATCATAATGTAACATATGACAATATGGTAGAGTGCCTGGGATGGGGCGGATATGGAGATGGGGGTGGTTACTTAAGGTATGGCAGTCAATAAAATCTTTAAAGATATGATATTTGAACAGAGACCTAGTAAAGAGGTTACCATACAAAGACTTTAAGAAAGAAGTTTTAGGAGAAAAGCAAGTGCAAAGATAGTTGAGGCAGGAACCTTGGAGGACCAGCTAGGAGGTCAGTTTGCTGGGGTGTAGAGAACAAGCAAAAGAATGGTATGAAATGAGGCAGAAGCTGGCAAGGAGAAGATCATGTAGGAGGCCATGATAAACAGTTTGGATTTTATTCTGATTGTCATTGAGAGCTACTGGAGAATTTTAAGTGGCGGTACAGTATTTTCTGATTTGTTTTCAAAGATCACTGATTACTGTATGGTGAATAGACTGAGGGGCAAGAATGAGAGAGATGAAAGAGCAACGAAAAAGCTGAGGCAGCAGTCTATCCAAGAGGCTTGCTCCAGGTGGCTTCAACTAGGGCTGTAGTAATGGAGAAGATGATGAGTCAATGTAGGTAGCACATGTTGTATGGGGAGCTGACAGGACTTGCTAAGAAATTGACTTGCAGTTTTAAGGGGAAACAGTAGAATCTAGGATAATGCCTATGGTGGTGCCCTTTATTACAATGCAGAAGACAGGGAAGAAATTGGAGGCAAAGCGGAATGCAGGTTCCCCTGAGGTAAGGAACTGTCTGTCTTTTCCTAGCCCTCACACAAGCAGATGTAGAGCGGGGAGGAAGGAGATATAAAAGATGTGAGCACGATATCATACCAGCACCATTTGTCTAATCCAAAATGCTAGGGTCATAGATCTAGCCTATGCTGGGGGTAGGAAAGAAAAGAACTTTGAATCAACTAAGCTACTGACGTTTAAAAATGAATAGGTTGAGTTTTAGAAACTGAAATATGATAATTGAAAGTGGCCTGAAAAGTTATGGAATTGGACCAAGATGTTCAGGAAGATGCAACCCAATGGAAAGAGGTGTTGATAGAGCACAGCGAACATGGTAACAGGAAAAATTAAAACTCTTTCATGTTTATTCCCCAAGTTTTTCAGAACACTCAATAAATGAAGTTCCAAAAGTGACTCAGGAATGAGGAAGTGGTCAATTGTATCAAAAAGCTGTTGAGAGCCAGCCCTGATGGCCTAGCAGTTAAAGTTTGGTGCACTCCGCTTCAGCGGCCTGGCTGTGGTTCCCAGGCGCAGAACCACACCACTTGTCTGTCAGTAGCCATGCTTTGGTGGCAGCTCACACAGAAGAACCAGAAGAACTTACAACTATGTACTAGGGCTTTGATGTGGGGTAGGGGGGGAAAGAGGAGGAAGATTGGCAACAGATGTTAGCTTAGGGCTAATCTTCCCCCTGCAAAAAAAAAAAAAATGCTGCTGTGACGTTTAATAGGATGAAGACAGAGAACTGACTTTCGCTATGTGGCAGTGTCTGATCACCCTGATGAAAGTCACTTTAGTAAATGGCAGAGACACAAAAGCAAAATTGGAGCGAGTGAAAAAGAGTGCGGGAAGTGAGGAAATAAAGGTAAAAATTATAGACAATCCTTCAAGAAGATTAGCTACAAAAATATATGAGAAAAAAACAAGAGCAGACCATTTTTAATAATAATGGCAGCTTAATTCCTAGCATGCTTTACAGAAATGTCACTTTTATTCTTCAGCAATCCTCTGCAACCAAAGTATAGAATAGTGCAGGAAAAAGTAATTTTCAATTAGATTTTTTTTTTCTTACCTTCACTGATTAAATTTAATGTGTCTTGTTTTCCATCTCCTTCTTGTGACTGACTTGGATCCAGTGAAGTCTGAGAAAGGCTAACTTCAGCTGATAACTGGTCAAGACTTTGATAACTTTTTCTGTAAAACAAGGGTAAAATATTACTTGAATTTCTTCTCATAAAAAAGAACTTCAAGAGATATTCTTTAATGGTTTTCTTCAATTTATTGAATTTCTGGTTAATTTCTCCCCAATTTTTCCCCTTAAATTTGTCTTTATCATGGCTGCAATATGATCTCCATTACACTTTTCCCTCTACCCTCTTTGGAGGTCTGTTTAATCCACAAAAAAAGGAAAAGATAAACAATTTGTCAAACAAATTTAAATCCTTACACCAATTTTTTTTATCCAGATAATTAAGAAATGGGGACTTCCAGTTATTACCAATTGTCAAAGGGGCGTACTCTTAATGCAGAAACAAAATTGACATAACTTAATAATGACCTAGTGTCTCCTAAGCACTTCAGAGTTCTTCAATGCCTTGATATTTTTACAGATGGTTATTATATAACAATAATAACAAATTTTTATTACAAATCCTTATAATTTAGAAATATAAAACATGGGTAATTAAATACCTATTCGCGTTAATACACCATCAAGCTAATTAACCTCCTTCCTTCATCTATTTATTATTGTGATCCCATTTTCCATTAAATAAATTAATGAGAAGTGAATTATAATCGAAAAATTCAGTTATAAATGGAAAGTTGATGAAGGTTTACTATTAAAGTTTCCTCATATTTGTTTTGTCAACTCAAGAGATATATGCAGCTTTGGTGTTAATGACATTTCAAGTAAGAGAACAGAATCCATTATTATTTCCAAATATAAATGATCTAGGAAAAGGAATGTTTTTCAGGCTCAACATTTATTTCCCAAGGTAGCCAAACCCTAACTAATTTCCTAGAAATGTCATATATTCTACAATAATGTTATAGGAAAGCATATATAATTTAAGGAATCTTTCCATAGCTATTCTCTATTCATACACACAAGAGTAGACTGACTTACAAATTTCTCAAAGATAAGTATATTAAGTAAGGGGGATATACACAACAGATATCTATTTTTTTCCTCTACGAAACGAAGAGAAGAATGAGGTGATGGAAAAACTTTACGAGTTTACAATACAAGCAGCATTCTCACTTTGTAACATGATGACTTTTTAAATGTCGAGAGTATAAAAGTTCTTAATTATATTTTTAAGTACCAAGATTCTATTGTAGGAAACTTCTGATAATTATAATAGATAAGAGGTATATAAGCTATACAACATGTAACAAAAAAATAATACCCAATATTTACATAGCACTTACCAAATGCTAGGCAATGTTCTACATATTTTATATATATTAACTTATTTAATCCTCACAACTACCCTAAGAGGTGGGAATTGTTACTATCCCCACTGTGTAGCAGAGGAAACTGGAGCACAAAGAAATCAGATTTGAACCTGGTAGCCTGGCTCTAATTCTGACCTCTTAACTACTATGCTATCTCCTCTCCAGTATAGGAAGAAAATACTTGGCTTCCTATTTTATTAAAAAGTCTTCTTAAAAAACAGCCTTGTTTGCTGAATAGACCATGTAAACTATATTGTATTTAATCATATTGCTGAAAATTTCACTTGATTTCCATTAAAATCTTATTTCTTTAACCATAGAGGAAAGCAAGAACACAAGAATTTAATAAAGGAAGTTATAAATAAGTTTCTTGTTCACACTATTTTTCTGTGCCTAGTTAGGTAGTAGCCTTGCTTTTAAAACTGGCTTAAGATAAGTTTCTGACATTGATTTTTCCTCATAGGAAACTTATTATTATTCAATTTTTAAAAATTATATACAGAAATATTTACAAACAACAAATTACCCAGAAGAAAAAAAAGACAATTCATTTGAATATTTTAAGTAAGGACTGAGAGCTTGACAGCACACATTTACAGTAATCTCAAGGACTGTCACCCACTTGAGGGAGGACAGCCTGTAAAAGCAGCCTCTGACAACAGAAAATGAGCTTTCTGCATGACCTATCGAAGTTCCTTTTAGAGTATCACACTTCCAAATCCAAAGTGATTTTGGGATCTTTCTACCCTTTAATATGTCACATTTAGTGAGCAATCCTTGAGTTTATAGGCTTTACTCAACCAAATGCCAACCGATATAGAAATAGAATTTGGTAGACAATGATGTTCTGAAGCAATAATAAAAATTCCAAGCCAAAATTAAGCATATTATTTATAAGATAATAATAACAGTACCATACGATATCTTCCCTGCATGAAACTGACTACAGACCCACCATATGGGAGGAATCTAGTTCAGCTGCTTTCAGTAATGACAAAGAATGGGTTTGGTTTCCAGATTCTTACCTGATTTCCACTGCCACGGGCAGCTCCATCTGATAAACATGTTTTATCATGGAGTAAACTATCTGTCTATGGGAGTTCTATCTTTAAAAGCTCCCCACTAAGTCCTATCTTAGAATTCTACACTCATTAACATCACACTGTAGGAGTTAAATGTAACCCACTAGACATATCAAACCAATTAATAGTCTATTACTATTTCTCAGAGCAGAATTTTTAAAGTAGCAATAGTTTACTTCATCAAAATAAGAATCCATATAGTAAGAGTCATGCATTATGACTATATAAAAGTTTAGTTTAGGGCCGGCCCGGTGGCGCAAGCGGTTAAGTGCACGCGCTCCGCTGCGGCGGCCCGGGGTTCGCTGGTTCGGATCCCGGGCGCGCACCGACGCACTGCTTGGCAAGCCATGCTGTGGCGGCGTCCCATATAAAGTGGAGGAAGATGGGCACAGATGTTAGCCCAGGGCTGTCTTCCTCAGCAAAAAAAGAGGAGGATTGGCGGATGTTAGCAGAGGGCTGATCTCCTCACAAAAAAAAGAATAAAAAAAAAATAAAAGTTTAGTTTAATCTGTGCCTTTACATTGTTAAATATAATTTAAATTAAACTTTTAGGAATTATGTCATATGTCACAAGCATTTGGGACATAATAAAATCCATTGCATTTAATATCTAACTATTTAGGAAAGTAACATCAGCATCATGGTGGAGTGAGCTTCCCCCACTGAACTCTCCCCCTTTAAGACACAACAAAAAGGACATTCATATTCCAACAGAAGTTATTCACACAACACAAGGGACATCTGAGGCACCCATGCATCGTACACCTGAGGGGTGAGGTGCTAGAATCCCCAGAGGAGGTGGAAGGAGGTAAGAGGAGCTCCCTTCCTTCCCCAAGGTCTGCGACCCTGAGACTGAGACCATGCGGCTCTCAGGGGGAGGGCCGGCACAGCCCTCTGCCGGAAAACCAGCACTCTCCAAGATCCCTCAGCCCATGGGGAATCCCCTTACGGAGGGAGCAGAACTGTTGCAAATGTAGTTTTGACAAGCTGGCCCTTCAGGAGAGCAGAGAGCAACAGGGAAGCAAGAAACCTCTGGGATTGGGGAGGCGAAATAAGCGCCACCCTCTCCCCCGCCTGCCCGGCACTTCAGCATAGTGGCCCTGCAGCATTAGCTCTGTGGTGCTGCAGCTCGGCCCTGCCCCCAGCACCAGTGGCGGCAGTGCGCCCATGCCCCGCCCCCAGTGGTGGCTCTCCAGAGCCCCAGCACCAGTGGTGGCAGTGAGCCCACGCCAAGGCCCCTGCAGTGGCAACTCCCCCATTGCCCCGGCCCCATCAGTGGCAGCAGCGCGCCCACCCCCAGCACCAGGCGGCAGCCCCCCAGAGCCTCGCCCCCAGCGGCAGCGGCCCCCCAGAGCCCTGGCACCAGCGACGGCAGTGTGACCACACCCTGACACCAGCGGTGGCAGCGCACTTGCACTCTGGCCCCAGAGGCGGCAGCCCCCTGGCGTCTGGGCAACAGCAGCAGTGGTGCACCCACACCCAGGCCCCCGTGGCTGCAACCCCCCAGCTCCGCGGCCCCACCAGAGGCAGCGGCACCCCAGAGCTCCTGCACCAGTGGCAGTGGTGCGCCTGCACCCTGGCACTAACAGCTCAGGCCTGAGCATGCCCAAGTCCCAGCTGCTCTGGCTCAACAGTGCCATGGCCCCAGCTGCCCCAGCTCGACCACGCCATGGCCCCAGCTGCATTGGCTCAACCGTACCCTGGCCACAGCCCCTTCGGCTTGACTGCACCCTGGCCCCAGCTCCATCTGCTTGACCATGCCCTGCTGCCGGCTCCTTTGTCTCAACTGCCCCCTGGCTCCAGCTGATTCTGCTTGGCCACAATCAGTCTCCAGCTGACTTGGCACCAGCTACTTTGGCCCAGCCATGCTCCAGTTCCAGCTTCTTCAGCCCAGCGGCCCTCCAGCTCCAGCTCCTGTTTCTTCAGCCCCACCTGCGCTTCATCTACAGCTGCTTCAACCCAACTGCACTCCAGCTCCAGTTGTGTGCACCAAGCCATGCTCCAGCCCCAGCCGTTCCTACACTCCAGCTCCAGTTACTTTCGCTCAGCCACACTGAAGCTCAGCTGTGCTTCAGCTCCGGCTTCCTCAACCCACCCACACCCGAGCCCCAGCTGCTTCGGCCTAGCCGCACTCTAGCCCCAGCTGTTCCCGTGCTCCAGCTCCAGGTGTTCCTGTCCTCCAACCCCAGCAGCCTCCACTCAGCCGTGCTTCAGTTCAGCCGTGCCTCAGCTCAGCCTCGGGCCAACCAGAGCACCTGTGGATTGAGGCAGGCACAGAACACACAGCTCTTGACCCCCACCCAGTGGCAGCAAGAGGAAACTTCCACCAGGTATTTTCACTATGACGAAAAATAAGCCAACACCGACAGGCACTAGGCAAAAATATATTAAATCTCCAAACCAAAAAGAAAATGACAAGCACCCAGAAATCAACCCTGAAAGAACAGAAATGTATAACCTTAATGACAGAGAATTCAGAATAGCTATCATAAAAAAGCTCAACGAAATACAAGAAAACACAGACAATTTAATGAAATCAGGAATTTCTTCACAAAAGAGATTGAAACTATAAAGAAAAACCAATCAGAAATCTTTGAGATGAAAACACAATAGAGAAGATAAAGACAAATCTGGAAGCCTTAAGCATCAGAG